TCATCTTAACAGGAATCAGCTGTTTGCCTTCTCACTTCTCCAGCATGTTGCCGGGGAGAATTTAGCATCTGGTCTGGCTATTATTAAAAACAAGAACATCCTGCTCCGTTGGGAGAACAGCACCACTGGCAAGAAAAGGACAGAGATATTTGCATCCAGGATCCCAAAGATGGGTTTCGGTTCAATATAACTGCCCTCGCTCCTACTCACGCCCCCTCCCCACCCAGGCTTTCGTTTAAAAATTTCCCAATGCATCAGTCATTTGCATCGTGGTCTCCTCTTTCTGAAACAGAGAGATGGAGTGTACTTTTTCCTTTCACTGGGAGGCAGGAATCACTGGAGTTGTTCAAACACTGACCCACTCCCGCTGTGTGATAAAGTTGAACTACCAGAGGAAATTTTTTTTTTTTTTTTTTACAACTGCGGAAATGAAAAAGTAAACAAGACTGGAGCTGCATCGGTATTCAGGCTCCAGCTTTTTTGTTGTTGTTTTTGTCTTTTGCTTTTTTTAAGCATTGGGCTAGGAGCCTGAAGGAACCGTATAATATGAAAAACCCTGAGAGGTTTTATTAGCCAATAAAAAAAAAAAACTGAGTTCCCATTAACCACTTAACTCCTTGCTAAAGTTCCGCCCTTTTCTTCCCTCCTGGATCCTTCTCTCCCTCTGACGCCCGTGAAGAATGAAATTTGGTCCATCTGTCTCTCCCCGCATAATCTGAGTTCCCAGTGTGTCCCAGAAGTTGTGGTGGAGAATTACATTCAGTAATTGTCTCTGCATTTCTCATCTGTAAAACCACTAATAAGATCTTGATAAGGAGTCAGATTTTCTATGCCCCCAAATCCACACCCAGAAAGACTCCCTGAGCACACCGCTAAAAGGAGAAAGGTCATCGTGATTTTCAAGATTTCAATACTAAATGACTGTTAGAGAAAAACAGAATCGGTCTAAGACATTGCTGGAATATGTCATGATTCCCACAAAACGCACCTCTCGTTTCAGGGCAGAAGAATAGAGAGAATAGAGAGAAACTCACAGAGAAACAGAAAGTGAAACTGGCCAGAGTTGTTGCACTGTCAGAGATGGATGCAGTTATAAAAAAAATAAATGACCTAATTTAGGAAGGAAAGGATGTCCAAGGAGATTTAAATCATAAAACCGTTGTATTAAGGCTCCCGCGATTGCACATGTCATGCAGTTTTGTGTGTTTGCTTTTGCTGTTTTTAAATGAGACGTTTGCACATTTACATCAATCCATCATCCGACTGCATTTTGGGAGTTCCTGGTACCCTCAGCTCTCAAAGACCCCCTTCAGCTCTGCCGCTGTATCCTGTATCTCCTAACTCCACTGATCCCACTCTATCTTCCCTCCATCCCCACATCTGGGCTACCTCTGGTACTTTGGGTTCTCCAGTAGAAATGCCCAAGGCAGAAGGAGTACAGGGCCACATGAGACCTCATTGCAATTTTGTGTTCTGGTCTCATTTAGTGTTGTGAAGACAAAACTAGTTCTTGAAGGGCTTGTGTGGAAGAACTTTTGCTTGTCCCCATCCCTCCCCCCTCCCATTTTTTTAGCAGTTTGCTAGATGGTCTTGGTTTCTCTATAAGGATGACAGGTTGGGAGGTGGGGGGCAGGGGTGGGATTCTTTCCATCCTATTGGCTGTGGAGTGGCACAGAAAGACCTGGGACAAAAAGACAGCAATCGTGACGTGAGCTACCTTTGCAAAGCTAAAACATAAAGCAGGTTTTCCAGAAAACCCCACTGAGTGGTCAGACATCATTGCAACAAGATAATAAGCAAATGAAATTAAAATAAATTTTAGTAAAAGTTCAGTGGGTTTCCAGAAACTTGATCCTTCTGCTTTCCAACTGGTTGAGCATGTCTGTCCAGGACAGCAGGGCCGGGTGAATCACAAAACGCTCGTGAATAAATGCGTTACAAAAATGAATAATAACCCTTCTTAGATGTCCATGTCACCGTGCTCCTGACATCTCAGGGAGGCATCCAGTGTCCCCTGTCCCTTCTAAATAACGTATTTGAAGAAGAGTAGGTGCTTGTGGGATGGTGTGCTTTTTTGCAGAATTTGAGGCAAATAAATGCTGTGTCAAGGGGTATCTGTGTGTGTGCTGAGCTTCGTCTTTCCCTGAAGGTTGCTCGGGCACCTCTTCCCATGCCTCCACCCTCCTCCTTCCCCACCTCCCTCCCTTCAGGTGTGCCTGCACCCATCTCACACACACACACACACACACACACACACACACACAAACACCCCTTACTATACTGCCCTTTACATCTTCAGTAGATCCTTTGCCAAATTTTGATGAATAACTTTTTAAAAAATTTCATTTCCAAGGCCTCCCGACTGAATGCTGTGAAGCCCCCGGGGGAGCCACAAAGAAGCTGGAGGAGGAGGGAGATGCCCTCGCCTTTGCTCAGAGCTCGTAATTTAAATGAGAGCCATCCATGTATTGGTTACTACCTGGCCTTACTTAAGCATCTTCTGCAGACCCAAGGAGGGAGCCCAGGAAGGAAGAGCAGAGGTGCTAGAGCAGGGATTGGAGTAGCCCGGTACCCACAGCGCCAGTGAGCAGCAAGTTGTCACCCACATGTTCTCTGCACCAACACCCGGACAGCTCAGGCATCCTTCGAAGGATCCTTCCCGAGCCCTTCGGACCCGATTCGAGGAGCAGATGCGTGTGTTTGCCTGGGGTCTCACAGGAGAGCTGGCCCCCACTCACCGAAACGGAGGAAGTCAGTTGTCCCCAGAAAAACTTAGAGCCTGTAAGGTAGCGGTCTTATCATACCACCCGCCCCTCCCCTCCCCCACCAAAAAAACCCTGTTTCCTAGGACAGGTCTCTAAAATGGCGCTAAGTGATTGGGTCAGAGATTGAAACTGGATTGCCCACTGTTAACCTGATCATCTAGGTAGGGTTGTTTGCTTACATCAGACCAGCCGGTACCCGCATTTGTACCCTGGCTCTTGGCTGGGTCAGTGCAATGAACCACCCGCTTCCAGAGGGGATGAAAACTCAACACGTGCAGATCTGGGGGCCCTGCCCTCCCTGTGAACAAGGGCTTCCTCTACCTCCTCCCTGGCCTTTTCAGACTGTTCTCAAATCCCATAAATATAAACATGTGGCTCTTCAACCGCATCTGTAGATAATAACTTCAGGGGGCTTCCTGTTTACACGGCAATACCCATTTCCCAGCCAAATAAACTCTGCGACGGAGAGCTGAGGTGTTTATGGGGCCAGTCTCGGCTGGGATCGAGTTAACAGGAAACACCCACTCTCCAAGAAATGTCTGATGATTAAATATTTGTGGGGCAGGGGGCACCAAGGGTCAAAAACACTGGAGAAATTGCTTTCTTCTTCCGCCTGTCGTTTCCAGTGAGAAACAGAAGTAGCCATGATAAATACAGCCCAGCCGGCCAGGCCTAGCAAAGCCCCACAGCCGTGCTGTTCGCTGGCTGCAGGGCCTGTGAAGCGGGGAAGATGGAGGAAGTGCAGACTGGAGAGTCAGGAGCCTCTGTCCCAACACATACAGCCCTCAAGGTGCCATCAGGTGGAGGGACGGGACAGGCGGATCGGCATCCATCCCTGGGAAGTCCCTCAGTCTCCTATCTGGCCGTCCTGTTTCAATGAGCAACGTATTCTCGCACCAGCTCTGTCCAGAAAGCCTAAGAAGTTAGAGCCTTTAGCCCAGTCGTTCTTAATCGGGGCGATTTTGCCCCCCAGGGAGCACCTGGCAACGTCTGGAGATATTTTTCATTGTCACAACTGGGCGGACGCTACAGGCATGTAGCAGGTAGAAGCCAGGGATGCTGCTAAACACCCTACAATGCACAGGACAGTCCTCCCTGCACACACGCCGAAGAATTATCCAGCCTGAAGTGTCAGTAGCGCCAAGGTCTAGCCCAGTGCCTTTCCATAAACCAAGAAACTGAGACCGCGAGGAGGAGAGTGATTTGCTGCTGCGGGAGAAAGCTGGAGGGGCCGAGAAGGCCACCATGCCCACCTCCCGTGCAGTGCCTTTTAAAGCCACACAGATGTTTAATTTAAAAAGATAAATAAATATACATCCTCAAAGAGTTGCAAACAAGTTCCCTGGCCTAAGTTCACCCAAGTGCTTTTAGGATGTCTCCCAGGCTTAGAAATGAGCTGTTTCCAAGATCTCTCAGAAAACAGTGCCAAAGGGGCAAGAATGAGCAGATCTAAAAGGCAGCCTCTAACTCCTAGCGTGATGTGGGCCCCCCGCCAGTGACTGCGCTTGTCGGCACCGAGGTTTCCCCGTCCCTCTCTAGAACTGTGATAAGCCAAGGCATACGCACAGCACGGGACAGAAAGCAAGCAACCGCTCTACCCCAGGCCCTCGACCTTCTCGCAGGGGAGGGACTTACCAAAAATAAACAGCGGCCCAGAAAAAAAAGTTTCCAAACTAGAGTTAGCCTCACTAGTAGTAGAATTTTTCTGAGGCTAGAGCTCTCCAGGCCAAGGTCCGTTTTTACTCATCCTTGTCTTTGGTTGACTTTCTTTTTAAGAACCCAAAAGAGATGTCAGAAGGCAAACAGACTACCCCCTACGGCTGGGCTGCCTGAGCTCTTGTGACTACAGTCAAGGGTTCACTTGTCGGCCCCATTCATGTGCCCAGAGATTAGCATCATGGAACCATCGAGGCTGCTGTCTTTCTACCCTGACTCGTCCCCCTGGTTGCAATAAGGGGCTTTACCCAAGGATAGGGTGAGCACTCCTTCCTTCAGACAACAGGCTGATAAGGAAGTGAGCGCACTGCTAGATTCTTCACCCACCCCTCTCTCGGGGTAGGCCAAAACAAGAACCCAGCGCTTACCAAGACGGTTTTCCTCTCACCAGTAATATAGGATCTCTGCTCTCATCCAGCCCTGGCAAGTCCTACGACCAATAAGTGCCCAGGTGTACGCAGGAGTAGGTGTCAGACTAGAGAAGAAACCGCGGATGAGAAAAGACCCAGTGTACACACATAACAAAACCAAAAAAGCCATTTTATTGAAAATTAAATTCAAACTTCAAATTAATATTACAATCATGGAAAAAATGCCAAATAATTCAATTTACAGTTGCAACATACAATACAAATAGTCCCTTTGAAGTTAAGAGTAAACTCATCCACAATCATGACCTGTGGCACAAAGCAGAATTTGTACAATATGTGCACGGAAAGCAAATCTTGGGCAACAGCGACTGGAAAAAAATAAAAATGAAAAGCTTGTATTTACACAAAAGGCTACAAATACTTTTGTTCCACAGAAATCTAAGAATGGTAAAGCATATCCAAAAAAATGGAATTTTATTCAAAATACCTAAGAAATTATTGTAAGTTATGGTTTTGGCTGATATATTTCAAAGTACTGCATGAAGAAGCAAACAGTTATTTGTAAACATGAAGTAAACAAACATCTAAAAAATTCTCACATAGAAAATATGTTTCAAATGTGTTATCTTTTTAAGAACAACAAATTCAAGGTTTGGAAGAGTCGTCTTTTATTTATTTTATTTATTATGGTTCTTTCGAATGTCATAGGTATAATTCTTGTTTTTGCTAATGCTTTGTGTTTCCATGCAATCACCTAGACTCTGAGTCAGTCCCTTTCCTGGGAATGGAGGGAACTCTTTCAGCCAGCACATACATCTCTTCCCCTCTGAATCTGCAATGGATGGGCCCCAATGGTGTACAGTTCTCTGCTCACTTTTAAAAGGCCCTGGTGGGGGTAAGACGGCCTGAAGAGCGAACCACAGCTGATCTGTTGAGTCTTTCAGTTCCAACCTGGATGTCATTTCACAAAAAAAACAAAAAACAAAAAAACTAAAGCTTCGGTACCTGTTCTGGGACTCTGACATAGTTTAGAACAGGTTAAAAAAGTGGCTGTATTGGTCACGCTGTAAACCATGCCTTTATAATCTGAAGGAAGTAGAGTGCTGGCTAGTTCATGGTTCCACAGTAGCAGTAAGGCTTTGCTTTGGTCTTGAAATCACAAATCATACACGTGACCCAGTGCAAATTAAGGATTTGGTTAAAAAAGAAAAAAAAAAAAAAAAGATAGAAAAATTTAAACCCCCGGGCTAAAAAAGGGCTGAATTTGATCTAAGAAATGTAAATTACCCCATGAGAATGGTTTGAGTGAGGGGAGAAGGAAGAAGTGCTTGAATTTTTCCCAAGAAAAAAAAAGAAAACTTTTAAAGTGTTTCTGGGTTGCTGCCTGCAGCCACTATACTAACATTTCAACACAAAAGCATCCCTCAAGTCACTTAGTATGTGTACTGTAAACTTAAAAAAGCCCTTTCAACATTAAAAAGGAATGTACAGATATAGTACCTTTTTTATTAAATAGGGTACAGCTGGCACTGGCAGTAACATTTTTCTGTCAATTAATTAAGATTGAAATGTGTAACCAGACACTGGCTTTTTTAAGTGCTACTGAAACAAACACACATATTTTACACTTACAAATAAATGGACAGTGGCTTGCTTCAAGCTACCACACACAAATAATAAATAGTATCAATTACTACTTCCATCTTCAGTAATAGGAAAGTGGCTTATTTATCTAAGCATACTTGGTATACAACCTTTAGAAGGCAAAGTGTTTTGTTTTGGTTGGGCTTGGTTTTCCCCTCGATCTTTATTAGGAGGAGTCAGGGTGAATTCCCAGGCGAGGAGCACAGGTCCCATGCCCCACGAGCCGTCCCCAAGATGCTTGGTGCTCTATGAGGTGGGCTGGACAATGACCCGGGAGCAAGGGGCCTCTGGGGCTGGAGGCAAGTCTCTAAAGTTTCTGCCTGGGGGCGGGCACAAGCTTTAAATGAAAGGGCCCTGACCTGTGGGGGAGGTGGGTGGGGATCTGCCTGGTGGTGTCCTGAAGTGGTCCTGGCTTGGATCAAGGATCCACACTTGAGAATCTGCCACGTGGCCGCCAGGAGTGGTCAAAGTGCATCCGACAGGAGGGCTTCGGCTCAAATTCATACGCAGTAGTAGACACCAAATTCCACCTAGCTTTGCCTTCCCTTCGCCCCCCCATGGTGAGAAATATGAATATCAGAGGCTGTATTATGGGTCCCCACTGCCTGTGTGTTCTCAGATCAGCTGCCTGCTGGAACTTGCCTGCTCCTTCAGACGACCCTGCTCCCAGAAGACAAGGACTTAACTCTGCTCCTTTAAATGCAAATTCTGTGGGAAGCTGCCGGTGGGCCCCAGGCTAAGGCAGATTTGGGTTCCCCTGACTTACTGTTTGGTAAGGCGTTTTGGGTAACACTCCCTGGAGCAGTTCTGCTTTCCTGTACCGTGTGTGTATCACGACTGATCCTTCAGCCACATGTGTGGCTTTAAGCTGACTACGTCTTCACTGGTGATGTCGAGTTTTGCTTTAACTCTGAAACCACAGAACATTGTTCTGCAGTTCAAGGATTCACTTGTGCTTGTCTTTTTCATATGACAAGAGTCATCATTATTTCAAAGAAATTAGGAAGCCACATCACTCCAGCATTTTATGCTGACAATGAGCAACATAAGTGATAAAGGACTAAGGGTTGCTTTTTAAATCTCTGATTATTGCTTTTTAAAAGGCAAAGCTGTGTTAGAGGCAATCAAAGATCGGAAAAGAACTAACATAACATTTCCTTCATACATCACAAAAACAAGCTACATCTAAAATATTTGGAGATGGAAGTACTTTTAAAAATCACATTGTGTCTGGATGAACTGAAATTGCTTAGCAATATTTCAGATATGGCTCTAGCCCACTGAAGGAATTTGTTATTTAATAAAGAGCACTTTTAGAGACCGAAGTCAACATATCAATACACTAAGAAATGTTTCAAGGGTCCAAATGTCATTAAATAATTATAAATATATCTTTAAAGTTATATGACCATTCACGTTAGCAAGTTACCTCAGATTTTACACATATTCATAATTTAAAAAAAAAAAGAAGACAAATAACACACAGCCAAACGCAAACACTATCTCTACCATTATGGCTATAATAAGGTATTGCCATTTTCAGTTTTGCATAAAAGAAGAAGGGGTTAGGTGGGAAGGGGGCAGTTCGGGATCGGATTTCTTTTTGGTTAAATGGGAAAAGGAAAAAAAAGTATAAAAAGGTAAAATAAAATAATCTATCCTGATGGGTACTTTTTGAAGTCACTTTCTTAAAGTAGGAAAAAATTAAAATAAAAACAACTGAACCAAACAGTTCAAATGAGTACTTGCAGAAAGTGTGAAAGCCAAAGTTTGGAACAGTTACTCTGAATGGATGGCAAGGGAACGGAAGCATTCTTTCTGCCCCTCTTCCCTCCGTGGGCACCTGGACCGGCTGTGTAAGTGGGTCTGCCGAGGGCACGGGTCCACACACAGCGGCACCGTGAGGGTGTGTGGTTTCAAAGCACAGGGGACAAGCGTCTTTGCTTTTCCTCCTGAACTTGGAGTCCACCTCTCTGAACTGGCATCTGAACAGGTTACTGAGGATAACAGACCAAATGACAACAGCAACAAAAGTACCTCTTTTCCCTTTGTTTGCTCGCAAAGGTACATGTTTAAAGAGAGAATGATCTGAAACCTGATAAGGATTGTCTCTCTTGGGCCTCTTGCTTCTCAAGAGCCACCCTCTGAGGGTTGCAAGATCATGACAGAGTGAGTGAATGCCAAGACAAAAAAAAAAAAAACCTTCTAAAAAATAGGCACTTTGTAGATAGGCTAGTTGATATACATATATATGCACTCTCTATATATGTATATGTTGATACATTTGGGATGTGGCTCCCAGAGACCGCTGGGCCACTGCTGAGGAAGTTTCAATAGGGTCGCCAAACAGATTCATCCATTCTGCCACTAGAATTCAAAACGGTGGGGGAACTGCTGTGGCTTCCGTCGGCGTCAACGCCATCGTTCTGGTTAGGCAGGTTTGCGTTTAAGAGCGCGCTGCCGTTCGAGGTGGTGGTGCACGGCGGTAGCATTCTGGAAGGAGACCGGTCTCCCCCGGGCACCATGGGGAACTGATAGGATCCTGACGAGGTGCCATAGTAGAGATATGGAGTGCTGCTGGTCTGGAAGGGTCCGCTCTGGCTTTGGGAGGAGCCGGGGTAGGGTGGTGGCAGGTAGGTGTGGTAGTGAGTGGTGGCGGACATACCGAGGGACATGCCTGAGGTGACTGGCGGGGTATAAGTAAAGGTGGCTGGATAGTGCATTCGTGGGTTGGAGAAGCGGCTCTCAGTGAGGGATGAAATGCTTGAGAACTGCCTGGGGTCTGAAAAAGGGCCCAGTTCTGAAGCACCTAAAAATTACAACAGAAGATGGGGGGGGGAAACATCTGTAAATAGCAGTTAAAATCACGAAAGAATTTATTTTTTTTACAAGAAAAGAAAGAAAACTTCAGCTTTCCCCCAAAGGAACAGCAAGCCACAAACAGACTTTCAAATGCACCGGTCACTGCACAGACTTCTGGGGCTTTTCTGTTTGTTTGTTTTTCACTTTACAGTCTTAGCAGCATTGAGCCTCAAGTTCTTCACCCCCAGAGAATCCCAAAGGGCTTTAAAAGCCCAAATGTGTGCTAGGTCTTGTGTGTAAACCAACCCAACACTCTGATCAGACAGATTCACTCACCAGACTTTAAGACTGAATCCTCATTGATTTTTTTTCCCCTCTCTTTTTGTTCCTTGTTGTACCTCAGATATTTGAAAGTGACCTTTTTACTAAGTCGGACACGTTTCTTTTCCTCAACCCAATATAAAGAATTTCCAAAGTGATCCGTTTTGTTTTTGGTACTCTTAGCAGGGCCCCTTGTCAATGAAGGAACGTCAAAAAGATACCCTAGCATGGGCCTAACACTTCAACTCTTAAAATAATGTGAAATCCTGTTTTATTCCTCATCTTGGTAACAGATTTCAAAAAAAAAATCAAACTAGATTTCAATGTTTTCTGGAACTATCTTACTTATCTGGGGGTGTATAGGGGGTGTCTGACCCTTAGAAATTCTCCCAAGGGTCATAAACTAGCAGGTTTTGAAAGTGGGTGGGGGGAAGGCTTGGTACCTAGGAATCACTTCATTTCAAGTCTTGATGGGAGAAGTAGGACCTGATTAAGGCCACGTGCCAACAGCAGCTTTGGGGAAAGGCTCGCTGGTAGAGGAGATAAAGCAGGAGGGTACCTCACCATCCACCCTCCGGACCCCTGTACCACATCCTACAGAATTAGCTTCAGGCCAGTTTGAACTGGGAACCTGAAGCAAAGACAGTTTTCCTCGAAAATGTAAAGTCCTTTAACTTCTAAAGCTAACAGGGCGCCTCCTTAATAGATATTTCTGGCACTTAACTTATGAAACCACAGTTAGAAACTACTTCATGTGGAAATCAGTTTTCGGAAATGCCAAAAACTTATAGTTGTGATCTTTAAAGACAGGGTTATGAATTTCTAACACTGACAGAACTGTGACAAGCCGTTTTATAATACCAGTGTTCTTAAGATTTTGTTCACACCTAAAATCTTCCAATCCTTTGGATCTCATACATTTGCTTTTCCTGCCGCTTTTATCTGTAAGGGAAAGCACTCAGTAATTCTTGAAGGTCTTAGTGAGCAGGTACTTCTTCAGCTTTCATTTTCTTAGCCACGTTCTTGGATACTACAATATTTATTAAACGAATCATCCCAATATTTTTCTTTCAAGGTGCTGATCGAGAGTTGTTCATTTTTGTTAAAATGCACACTGCCTGTGTTCTTTATAAAATGCTCGGGGCAAGTGCCGTGATGTGCACTGATAGCAAGAAGTGACTACCTCAAAGCAATATATCGTTAACAAGGTGTTTCTCACTCATCGGACAGTCCCAATCAGACAGCCCCACCCAGCCCTGCCCAGCAATTGTGAAAAGTCTCACCTGCCTGGCTCTTCTTACTGAGAGTGGAAGGCCAGAGGCAGAAGTCAGAGGTGGCAGTGTCATCACCTGTAAAATGAGGGGATGAGCTCTAAGTTCCCTTCCGGCTCTAACGTTCTATCACCGTGAATCCCAAGACAGGAGGAGAAGCAACGGCCTTGGGGGTGGGGAAGGGGAGGCAGAGAAGATCCCACCCCTCACAGTACCTTCCCAGAATCCACAGGCCCATAAGCAGAGAGTAAAAAGCTGGTGAGCAGCTTCTAACACCAGAAGCAAACACTTTCAAGATGACAAACCAAAACTAGCACCGTCTGGGCAGTTACTCTCTGCTTTTTATAAATTCTTCCATCCTCCGCTGGCCTCTCCCTAACCCCACCCAAATAGGAAATTCTGACAAGCTCAGGTGTGAAAAGGTACAAGAAGTGATTAGGACAGAATCGCCAACGGGGCCAGATGAGACCTGCCATCTCCCTGCCCTGTGCTTCTGTAGTGCCTGAACAATGTGAGCAATTTCAAATGGAAAGACGGCACCCTTACAACACCAGCGTTTGCCCCCCACGGGAGCACAGAGTTCACACAGGTAGGCTCAGCGACGTAAAAAATGCTTCTCGTGGGTATTTATACTTAAAATATACTGTCGCCATAATGAAAATTCCAGGTGGTTTCCCTGATTTTGAGGCAGAAGCCTCATTAAAACCCTTTATGTGGGGACCCTGCCAGTAAACTCCAGTGTGGTTTTGAATTTCTCTCTCCACCTCCCACCCCCAACTTCTCGATTTTACCTGATACATTTGTCTGATGTTTTTATTATCCATCACATGCCAGGATCACTCTACCTTTTTGGCTTCTAAATGCCAGCTAATGCAAATGGACGTTCATTTTTCAAGTAATGAGCTCTGGCTGTGGTTTATAGAAAATAATGCAACAAACTTCCGCTGGCTTTACAGAACTCTGACCAATGACTTCTAGTCATCTGAGACTGTCATGTCTTGAGGATTAACTCCTTCTGGGCAAAGAGAGCTCATGAGGACTTTAAACGGATGATATGGTAATTTTTATGTTACAAAAAATAAAATTTTCTAGAACTTAGTGATTTCGTGTTACACTGCAATGTGTTCTGTAGGAAGAAATTTTAACTTGCTGCCGTATCATGTGAGAGCTCTTATATAATAATCAATGATGGGGAGATGGAAGGAATTCTAAACTTAAAAAGAAAGAACTTAAACCCCTTCCTAACCTTTGATTATTTATAATAATTATTACAGAAGCAAAGGATATAACTAAATTTTCTTTCATTGAATGGGGTTGTACCTGTACTTCTAATCTCCGTTCTGTACAAGAACTCAGTTTTTCTTTTAGACCATCTTCTCAGGTTATTTCGACCTTGTGTCCTAAACTATTCATACCCATGTCACCAGCCACATTACGTACAGCTACAAACTATCTATAGACCTGGATATTATATCAACTAAAGTAAAGAAAATATAATATCTACTTACTAAAAGGATCAGGATGAAAGCCTGGAGAGTTCTAAAAGTACTCTTACCCCAATCTAATTTTAGAAATGTAAAGCCGAAGCTCAGTAACGGCCCCAGTGATCTGCCTTGTAGCCTTAGAGCCAGTTTAAAACTCCAGATTACAACCTACCGATTAAATAAAGCCAGCACTGCCAGGAGTTACTTGAAGCCCAAGATAAACATGGTGAATCTTCCTGATAGGCTTGTTTTACCCAGCATGGAGACAAGCGTATGCTGTACAGTAAACATGGACATGATATGGAGTAGAATGCAACACTTGGGTGAATTTTCAGACAAACAAAAAATGACTTCAACAAAATTTTGCACTTGTGAAGCTTTAAACTATGCCCCCAGATTCCCTAAGGTACCCATTTATCCTCCTCTGCTAGTCTGGGGTACTCTGGTGAAAAAAAAATCCAAACCCCTCGTTGACTGTTTAGATGATCCTAATCTAACCCGCTGACAAATAGGGAAGCTAAGCGGAGAAGGGAGCCATGTGCTCTACAAAAATCACAAAGCTCCAGAGAGGCAGAACCACAGCTAGACAAGACCTCTTCGACCTCTAACCACTCTGCAGTCTTAGTCACCCTTAAGGAATTCGGTGGACACAACCACAGATATACATTTGCTGTCTTACGAGCCTATCTGCCGAAATAAATTTGCCTAGAAATATTTAAGTAGGTTCTTCTGGTGCCCATGTGTTGCCCAATGAGAGCTACTGTTCTTGGGACACTATTTGAAAACTCTTTCGGGACTTGTTGATCTAATCTGCTCAACAGTGAGCAACTAATTCAGTTGTTCCTGGCATAATGTGAATGAGACCAAGGTCAAGGGCTTGATTCCCTTAGGACCTGCTGGTTCCCTACAGATGCATTTCATTCCACAACTGCTCGCTGCACCCTTAGCCAGTCAGACAGCTGCAGATTTATGTCGTTATCATAAATAGAGCTGCAAGAACCTTGCTCATTGAAACGGCAGCAGCAGCAGTTTTTCACAACCCAGTGTACCTGGGGAAGAATATATTGATAAAATGCCCGTGAAGCTCAAATAAAAATAAAATCAACGTTAATAGTAAAAATTTCTGGGCTTCCCTGGTGGCGCAGTGGTTGAGAGTCTGCCTGCCGATGCAGGGGACGTGGGTTCGTGCCCCGGTCCGGGAAGATCCCACATGCCGCGGAGCGGCTGGGTCCGTGAGCCACGGCCGCTGAGCCTGCGCGTCCGGAGCCTGTGCTCCGAAACGGGAGAGGCCACAGCAGTGAGAGGCCCGCGTACCGCATAAAAAAAAAAAAAAGAAGTAAAAATTTCTTGCTCCTATCCGCCAAAGTCTATGGGGAAAAACGAAATGGCCTCCCTTCACCCAACCAGGTCTCTTGGGCCTCCCAAGCAAGTGGAAAGTGTAGGGGAAAGGAGTGAAACCAAGACAAGGGAGAATAAAAGAGAAGCTCTGATCTTTTATTCTTGCAGGCTGCAAGCCTCCACTCAGCGCCTGCCACACCCCGATGGCTAAGGAGAGTTATCTTGGGTCATACTTGACTCTTAACTAGAGTGAGCTGCGGAGGGCAGTGATAGTCTAATCCCTGTTCGTCTTCCCCTTTGGGGCTTAATAACAATGATACTTGATGTTTCTAGGCCTTTACCAAGTACCTTCACATGCATTTTCTTATTCAGTAGACCCTCAAGACGTTATGGTTGGTTGAAAATGGGCCAGGAGAGCTCTCAAAAGAATGGAAATAGGAGTTTGAAAAGAATAGCAGACCGGGGTACTTGCCATTCGGGGCTGACAGCTAGGAAACATCGTACCCATGTATCACCCCCTCTCAGCAGTGGAATTTACACGCCCCAGCCAAGGAGGGCAGGTCGGGGCGGAGAAAAGGACAAGGGGCCTTGAA